CAGAGGGAAAAGCATCTGCAGTAGAGAAGTTCCCATTTAAATACAGATGTGTTTGAATAATCAAAAGCAAACACAGTTATGCATTTGCATTAGAGGAAGCAAAGTCAGCAGAGCCTGTCTTGGGCACGGTAAGCCTGTAGTGCTTTCGTGTCCTGGGCAAATTTATTTCAAACCAGAATGGAAGTCTGGACAGATCAAGTGATCTATCATTTACTACTTCTCTTTCCTGACAATGCACTCGTACTTCCACCCACCCTTACAAGAGATTTTCAGGGTAAAAAGGCAAAACACCACACAGAAATCACTCGGGATAATTTTGAAGAACAGAAACAGTGCTGCAATTCAAACTATTATAGTAACAAGACTGAATTTAGCACTGGGGGAGGATCATAGAATGGTTTGGGTTGGAAGGGACCTTTAAAAACCACCTAGTCCAACCCTGTGCAGTGAGCAGGGACACCTTCCACTAAACCCGGTTGCTCAAAGTCCTGTCCAACCTGGCCTTGAGCCCCTCCAGGGCAGGGGCATCTACAGCCTCTCTGGGCACCCTGGGCCAGTGTCTCACCACCCTCATTGTAAAAAATGCATTCATTATACCTAGGCTGAATCTACCTTCCTTTAGTTTAAAACCATTACCCTTTGTCCTATCACTACAGGGCCTACTAAAAAGTCATGAAAGGTTGCTTAGGTTTGATTTATCTGATGGAGGCGAATACCACAGGTTCTGCTGGTCCCTCTCAAAGTCCAGACGCTTCTATACAGTAGGGTACTGTTTCCCCATTTTCACTAACCAGTTGCCCATCAACCTGGAGAAAAATGCACTGGGAGGTCAGCTGGTAAGTCCACGGGGACCAGGAAAACACCAGCAATGGGGTGGTACTTCTATGCTTTACCAGAGATTTTCCACCAGTCAAGAGCCACCGCTTCTTTTACAGTCTGGAAAACTTCTATTCTGTGGTCCTGCCTCAGGACAAACTACTTGGACCAGAGTAGAAAACATCACCCTGCTTGCTAAAGGCACCCCTCCATCACCAAGCCCTGCCTGGGGGGCCAGCACCAGGATCCCTATTAGAAACAGCTCTGCCTTCTTAGACTAAGCTTAAGGCAAGATGTGCTGGAAGAATGAATCCACCAGTGATGTGCAAGAAGAGATAATGGGACATTGCTGTCACATTAAGCAGGATCAACACATTTTCAAAAAGTCAAGCTGAAAACCAGGTTTCACTGTGCAAACAGGGCTATGGAGCGCAGTCCAGCTCTCCCTGCCTAGCTGTATGAACTCTGTAAGAGCTAAGTCTATTTTGACACCTGAAGCACAAGTGCTAATAAACCTCATTCAGAAGCTCAGAGGACTGCCAAGAGACTTTCAGGAAGCCAAATAAATGTTCTTAGATGTCCTCCACGCTGTTTGTGGTGGGGTAGAAAACAAGTATACCAGCTCCAAGGATAGCTTTTTCCATTCACAGTGGAGAAAAAGATCCTTTAGCTACCAAAATTCATTTATCTTGCACTCCAGTTAATCCACAAGGGCTGCTACAGTTAAAATTTCTATACAAGATTTCCCATTTCAAAGGGTTTTGCTGTCCAGGTTGCAAACCTGGTGAAGTTTCCCTAGTCTACAAACCCTTCCTTAAAAAAGGTTTTAAACAGCAGCAACTGCAGAGACTCAACCCCCAAATCACACTCAGCATCTGCAGCTGAGATAACTGCAACATGCTTTCACCACTCAGCTGAGTGATGATCAAGGCAGAGCATTAAAAACTACTTCAGATGGGGTTGCACAATTATCCACACTCCTCCACGACATGACCTCCCTCAGGGCAAGTTCTTGCACAGAAAACTGGATTGCCACACACACATGCAGCTGCTAGGCTTTACTGCCTCTTCTTTCAAGCGTTTGTGTCTTAGTTCTTGTAGCAAGTGTCCTTATAACCAAAGTGTCTCCAAAGCCACGGCAGGCAGGTGGGAAGGACAACTACTCATTTTCATTTGATTACCAAACGGGCAGAGTTGCAACCTGAGCAAGCCCTGGACCATACTGGAATTAGACTTGACTACAACCTTACAGACCTTCTTGTGGGAAAAGCAACAGAGTGTTTGTAGGCTCAAAGGAGCCCTCTCATCCCTGTTGCTCATGATAGTTAGCCAGACTAATATAACCACACTAAACAGCCTGCCCAATTCCCTACCAAGGCTGGCCATCGTTTATTTCTGGGTCTTGTTTTCATAACATGAAGGACCCAGTTCATGTACCCCACAGCAATGGGGAGCAACCATCCCACTCATCCCATCACAGGGAAACAAGTATTCCCTCTGCTGACCACGAATTTTTGCTCTCAATTGACTTTTTTTGGTAGCCTTTGCAACAGGCTAAACTGGCTTCAAGAAACTTAGTGGGTTGTTGCAACAAAACTTGAAACCATAGATGACAGCCTCATTTTGCCACTATATTCTCTTCCAGAATTGCAGACAAGCCGTGCTCCCTACAACCCCGATACGCACTGGACACAGGGCATCAATTCAGACAATCATGCAAGACTGACTTCCTCCTCCGTTGGGTTCTCCTTCAGGTTGGCAGGAGACAGTCCTTCCATAGCCTCAAGCGACAGAAATTCGAGGACACGAACTCTTCTGTTAATAACATATAAACTTATCCTTCCTGCAATGGGCCATATTTTGGACCCGTATTGTGGATGTATATAATCTGTGAGGCCATCCCATGGCACACACACCTGCAAAACTTTGCATGACACCACATTATTGTTAGTCTGAGTTCCTCTAGGTGTTTTCAAGTGCTCTGAACAGTATCTGCACAATTTGGAAATCTCACCTATTCACATTCAGGTACTCCTATAGCTGAGCTGAACTGGTACTTTCACATAGAAGAAATGCAAAAGGCATCAGCTTGCGTTCAGACAGGAACCAAATTTCCACTTTTTGATCTGTAAAACCAAGCCAGCTGGCCTACAACATCCCATTGAAGCAGATATCCCAGACATACAAACGACAGAAATACACACCCAGGAATGGTCACGGCACTGGAGGAAGAAGTACCAAAGAAGTGCTGATGTCGACTCCAATGACAGAAGTATCCCAAGATCTAGATGAGGTGGTCATCCAGCTGGGACTGCCCAACTTGATGATGGGCTGGATGAAGTGAGGATGCAAATCAAGGTTCCCAGGAGCCTTTTTTTTTTTTTTTTCTGACTCTGCACACGCATCACCACCAGCTCAAGAGGTCCCCATACCTCCCAGCTGCTGGAACCTTTTCCTCCCCAGCAGGCTGCCAACTGAAGTGGCCACGTGAATAGCCCAAAAGCTGCTTCAAAGCCAGTTACTGCTAAACCTAAAGTCATCGGTAAGCCCGCTACAACCATCTGGGGTTAGAAGTCTGCATACAAACAGCCCCAACAGCAGATCTGAGAAAGCCTCCAGCTGGGAGGGTGTGAGTGGGGCACAAACAGCTGCGGTGAATTAGGGACCATCAGCCCGGAGGAGGTGCTGCAGTTGAGAGCCCAAGGCTGTAAACACATCTGCTTTTGGGGGCCCAGCCAGCAGTTTCCTTCACAGCTTTAGTCACCGAGCAGATTCACAATGAAACCGCAAAGGATCAGCTTTCGGTTTCTCCTCGTTAATCCAGAGGTTGTTAACATGCAAGGAAATATTAGCCCTTGCACCAGGGGGAGGACAACAGTTAGCTCAGGGTTGATTTGCGAGCAGGGGTTCTGTAGCCTTCATCCACGGAAGTATTTTGATATGATTAACTGATGTCCTTGATTTTATGGGACACCCCCATAGAGTTTATGGGACCATTAACCCATACGTGCACATCACTAAGGGGAACAGATACACAAAATTAATCTATTCTTCCTGTCAATGGTTGGTGAAACACAAACAGTGAAGCGTTGCAACTGGGCTACTCCAGCTGGAAAAAAACTATCAGTTATCACAGGAAGAACTTGTTGCAGTTTTCCCTGGCAGCCTGGTGTTAACCACAGCACTGGAGCCTTTGAAAGTGGTTTCCATAAGGCAGAGCAGGACAAGCAAGCCTCAAAATCTTCAGCTACTTAGCCAGAAAACTTGATAGTTTTAGTTCACCATGACCACAGGCTTTTAAACAAGGAAAATAGATCAAGTTCTGGCACGTTATTCAACTTGTGTTAAATGACTTAACCCAAAAGCAGAACGACGCACACGTTGCTGTGAGTGAAATGCAGCTGCAGCACAGAACAACTCTAAATTTTCTCGGGACTTTCAGTATTAGTGCTCCCCACCTTCTCTCACTACTCAGCTGCTGTCTTCCACTATCACCCGTTTACAGTAATCGGCGAAACACATTTCTCTCAGTAACCTCCTTCCCCAGCCTCTGAAGCCCTAAAGCTTTACAGTTCAAGCAAAGTTAAGCAAAACAACCTCACAATGCAATTAAGGGCACTATTACTCTAATCAGCCAGCATCGTATCTGACACTAGTCCTATTTTTGTTAGCTTCTTCCTCGCAAATCATCAGGTTACACCACTCGTTTTCACGCTTCATTAAAATTTTCTAAGTGACTGAGTAATCGCTCATACAAGTGGAGCCCACGCTAACAGATTATAGCTGCAAACCCGCGGCGCTTCGCTCCCATCAGATTAAGGCTGAGAACAAGAGTTTTGAGAACAAGAGTTTTGAGGAGTTTTGAGAATGAGAGTTTTGAGAACAAGAGTTTTGAGAACAAGAGTTTTGAGGAGTTTTGAGAACAAGCAACCGCCGGGCGCCTTAGCTGCCGGCTCAGCCCAGCGATAGCCACAAACTGCCGCAGCCTTAAATCCTCCAGGTCGAAAAAGCAAAACTCGGGGCCCGTTAGAAATAGAAAAGCGGGTACCCAAACCTGCCCCCCCCCGCCCCCCCAGCCCCGAGCAGCGCTGGCCGGAGCCCGGCGAAGGGAACGCCGGTCCCCACGGGCCAGCCCGGCGGGGCCGGGGGGCTGCTGGCCCCGGCGAGCATCCCGCGGTACTTACGCATGAGGGTGCTGAAGGCGCAGAGGGCCAGCAGCGCCTGCAGCAACACGCCGAAGCGGCCCAGCAACGCGCCGCTGCCGCAGCCGCGCGCCGGGCGGGGAGCGGCCATGGCGGGCGCGGAGGGGCGCGGAGGGGAGCGGAGGGGCGCGGAGCGACCCCGCTGCGCGCAAAGGAGGCCCCGAGCAGCCACTGCCCGCCCGCCGGGGGCGGCCACGGCCGGGGGCGGGCGGGGCGGGGGTGGGGCCGGCGGGGATGGGGATGGGGATGGGGAGGGGGAGGAAGATGAAGATGAAGGTGAAGATGGAGTTAGGGATGGGGACGGGGATGGGGATGGGGGATGGGGAGGGGGAGGAAGATGAAGATGAAGATGGAGTTAGGGATGGGGATGGGGATGGGGATGGGGAGGGGGAGGAAGATGAAGATGGAGTTAGGGATGGGGACGGGGATAGGGATGGGGAGGGGGAGGAAGATGAAGATGAAGATGGAGTTAGGGATGGGGACGGGGATGAGGATGGGGAGGGGGAGGAAGATGAAGATGAAGATGAAGATGGAGTTAGGGATGGGGATGGGGATGGGGAGGGGGAGGAAGATGAAGATGGAGTTAGGGATGGGGACGGGGATAGGGATGGGGAGGGGGAGGAAGATGAAGATGAAGATGGAGTTAGGGATGGGGACGGGGGTGGGGATGGGGAGGGGGAGGAAGATGAAGATGAAGATGAAGATGGAGTTAGGGATGGGGACGGGGATGGGGATGGGGAGGGGGAGGAAGATGAAGATGGAGTTAGGGATGGGGACGGGGATGGGGATGGGAATGGGGTTGGGGATAGGGATGGAGATGGGAATGGAGATGGAGGGGAAATGGGGTTGGGGATAGGGATGGAGATGGAGGTCAGGATGGGGACAGAAATGGGGATCGAGATGGGGATGGGGACGGGGGTGGAGATGGGGACCGGGACGGGGACGGAGATGGGGATGGAGATCAGGATGGGGACAGAAATGGGGATGGAGTTGGGGACAGGGATGGAGATGGGAATGGAGATGGAGATCAGGATGGGGACAGAAATAGAGATGGGGATGGAGATAGAAATGGGGATGGGGATGGAGATGGGGCTGGGAACATAGATGGGGATGGGGATATTGATGGGGACAGGGATGGAAACAGGAACAGGCGTGGGGACAGGGATGATGGGGATAGGGATGGAGATGGGGTTGGAGATGGAGGTGGAGCTGAGAACAGGGACAGGGATGGAGGATGAAGATGGAAACAGAGTTGGGGGATAGGAATGGAGATGGGGATGGAGGTGAAGAGAGGGGTGGAGATGGGAATGGAGATGAGGACGGGGTCAGAGATAGGGATGGAGATAAGGACAGAGGTGGGGATGGAGATGCAGCTGCAGATGCAAATGGGGATGGAGATGGGGATGAAGATCTGCAGTCCTGGTGGGAACTGAGGTGCCAGCTTGGGAAAGTCATGATGAGGTTTGAGGTGCTGGGTTGAGGGAGTCCCAGTGGGGATAGGGATGCTGGGCTGGATCGGTGTGGGTCCACAGGCTGCTGGGGTTTGGGCTGATGGGCTGCTGGAGTCCCAGAGGTGTTTAGTGTGCCAGGATAGGAAGGGCCCAGTGGGGTTTGGGCTGCCCTGGCTGGAGAAGGGCTGCCAAGGTTTGGGATATGGGGCTGGGGGAAGCCCGGAGGTGTTTGAGGTGCTGAGCTGGAGGAGCCTCAGCAAGATTTGGGGTGCCAGGCTTGGGGATCCTGAAAGGGATTGGGGGGCCAGGTTGGGAAGGTCCCAGTGGAGTTTGGAGTGCTGGGTTGCCGGGGTCCTGGTGGGGTTTGGGGTGCCAGGCTGGGGCAGGGGGACGGGGACGCAGCAGAGTTTGGGGTACCAGGCTGGAGACAGTCGTGGCAGTGTTTGGGGTGCCAGGTTGGGGGGAGTCCTGGTGGGATTTTGGGTACCAGTCTGGGGAGGGTAGGAAGGTTGCCAGTGGCACTGGGAGTGCTGGGCTGGGGAAGATAAAGTGAGTCCCAGCAGGGCTTGTGCGAACTGTGTGTGTGGGGGGACATGAGATTTCTCTGTCAGGGCTTTGGAGGTGCTGGCCTGGAGGCATGGGGGTGCACAGCAGGGCCCAGGGTGCAGGCATGGGGTGAAAATTGGATTGTCCCAGCAAGGCTTTGGGCTTGATGCACTGGAAGAGGAAGGGGGATGGTGCTAGTCAGGGATTTAGTGGTGCTGGCCTGGGAGAGCAGGGAGTCAGCCCCGGAGGCTGTGAGGGTGCTGGGCTGGGGGCTCCCAGAACACTCAGGGCTGGAGCACTTTCCCTGGTTAGAGAGGCTGAGGGAGCTGGAGATGAGACAGCTTTTGGGACAGCCCATAGCAGCCTGCTGATCCCTTTGGGAAGGACAGCAGGAAGACTGAGCCAGGTGCTTCCCAGCGGTGCGTGGTAGGAGGACAAGGAACAGCGGGTATCACTAGAAACACGAGAGGATCTGGCTGGATGTAAAGAAAAACTTTTTCCTCCAGGACAACAGTGACACAGGCTGCCCAGTGAGGCTGAACAGGCTCTGTCCTCGGAGGTTTTCAGGACTGGATTAAACACCCTGGTCTGATCTCAGAGCTGACCCTGCTTTAAACAGGATGTTGGACCAGACACCTCCCCAGGTCCTTTCCAACCTAAATTATCCTGTGTGCCTATTGCTGTGGTGTGTAAAATGATCTGAGGCATTACAGGTCTGCTGATGGAGTGAGGATCTCAAAATGCAGCCTCTTACCTGTTTTTTTTTTTTTTTTGCTGCTCTGTGTAATACTGGTCCCTTTACCCTTTACAGCCTCCTCCCCAGAGGGGAGGTTTAATTTTCTCTCTCTTTTCAGTATACTTGAGGCCATCTTTAGGGAGCACTGGGGTCATGCACTTAAGTTTCCCTCCCTGACTTTGAGATGTAGGAGCCTGCATTTAGTTACCAAGCCGAAGAGGCTGCAAATCTCATCATATCCTTTGAGTGAGAAATGGTCTTAAAACCAGCGGTAAATATTATGAGTCAAGAAAATCATGGGAGCTGGCCTGTTGCCCAAGTGAGTCCTGTTTACAACACAGGAGGGAATTGTGTTATATATGGGCTTGGGAATCCCCTGTACTGGTGAGGTCAGTAGTGCCAGTTTGGGCAGAGGTTAGCCCTGGTCACACAGGCCAACTGGAGGCTTGTCCCTCCTCCAGCTGCCTGCACTGAATTTCCCCATCCCCACGACTTAGCCAGCATATCTCCTGGTACCAACATGCTGACTCCATGCCACTGAAATAACCCCCGTCAGAAGCAGTCCCTCCTTTTTTTCAAGGGTGAATTGCATTTTGGGTTGATAGATGTCCATTTAGCTCACCGATTTTAATCACGGTTTAATCACGAGTTCAGTCAGCAAGCTGGAAGTTTGATCTTGCTAACTCATTTTCAGCTGATTTTGTATGTGTAATTGTTAGTTTCATAAAAAGGTTCCTTCCCCTGAGTTGGTAAATCAGATTGTGTTTTGCAATCAGTCGCCTTTATAATAAATTCTAAATCAAATATTAAAGTTGATACTCTTATATAAGCCAGTGGAACACACTATACGTGGAAGCATCTATTAAGAAAATGCATATCTTAACAGAGATTTACTCAAGCTCTAACATTTTGCATTTTCTCAGATTTCCTAGGCTGCTGCTAGAGAACCATTTTCATGGATTGGTTGCTGGATTATTTTTCACCTGGGAATTGCCTCAAACTCCATTTGCCCAGGTATGGCACAGCAATTGGCAAACATACAGGAAAAAAAGACATTTAAACTAGATGCGTATTTCTTAAACAAAACTTCAGTTTCTATGAATAACCTGCAAGTTATTTGTAAGAGATGGCATCAGTGAATTGCATGTGTCTGCGCAAGGGGACGGTTTTCCTAAGGCTTTCTCCAAACCAGTTGTGCCTGCTGCCTTTTCTTGCTTGCCCAATTAACAGTGATTTCTCCCTGCTGCTTCATTCAGCGGTGCAAAGTTGTCTGAGGCTGTATTGTCAAGTGTTGATATGTTTACAAGAGAGCACAATGCCTCATTTTTTCATAAGGGAGCAATAAGCAGAAAACCCCTTGATTTCACCCCTCATTGCAGCAGGAGGCAGGTACCCTTTAGTGGCTCCTGCTGCTCGGCACTCCACCGTGAAACCACAGCTTTGCTTTATCAAAAGCATGATTTGCACTTCAAAATATTTGGATTTTCTGAACTCATGCAAGAAGCCCTTAAGGCTTGGCTGTATCTGCGGTGGAGTCTGGGAGCTCTGGCTACTAAATTCTGCTATATTTTTTTTGGCAATTAAGGTGCCCCACAGCTGTCTCCCTGTTTTTTTTTCCCCACGGTTTTCCCTCTCTCCCAGGGTTTTCCATCTCTCCTCAGATGCACAGGGAGGCACCAGATCCTGTTTATAACCCAGCGGGGCTCCCAGACCCTGCCTGCTCATGAACAGCACAAGCTGCAACCCTCAGGGCAGCTAAACTAACTAAAGGTCGGTGCGCTCAGGTGCTGCAGCTCAACCGGTTATTTTCTTCAGGGAAATTTTCCTTTGGGGCTGTAGATTTTATCCTGAGTCAGTGCAAAGCTGTTTTCCAAGGAGGGAAGTTCAGAGAGCGAATGGTCCCTTATCTGCTCAGGGTAAGGCCCCCCAAAGCCGTGCGATGGCAGGACTTTCCAGCCAATCTCAGCAGCAAGAGTGACAGAAAAGAGAAGTGCTGCATCTTTCTTCTCTCTTCCCTTAACCTTGGTTAGACAAACACCTGGAGAGGCTCCCAGTGCATTGGTCAGTTTATGCTGATTTACTTCAGTCTATCCATTGATCTTTGTGAGCTTACAGAAATACCAGTGAGAAATATTGATGACATTTGACCGAACAGCAAAGTAAGAGAATGCAAACCAAGTAAGCAGTCATGCAAGAAATTTCCTAAGAAACAGAAATTAATAAAGGAGTCGTTAAAGAAAAAAAAGACTCAAGAAAACTGAATTTAAATTTTAGGCCATGTGTGTAAGCATGAAATCAAAGCCAAGACACCAAAGCAGTTTCAAGTAATAAGGGATGCAAAAACCAATCCAGGCAATTCTGTACATGCATGAAAGCAAGAGGAAAATGAAGGATGGTGTAAATTCGTGAATTCTTAGAGAGTGGAAAGCCACATAATGGAAACCACA